CACTATTATAACTGACATTGTTAAAAGCTAGGTGTTCTAACCGACACTGTTAAAAGCCACATGTTCTAATATACATTGTTAAAAGCTAGGTGTCCTAAGTGACATTGTTACAAGTCAAATGATCTAATTAATATAGCTAGCTCCCTGGCATTATTACAAGTCAGTTGTTTCATTTCAGTGATATACATTTTTATACTCTCATAAAACAGCTCTTACTGAGTATCAATATTTTTAGAGCTGTTAAATCTGACTTAAAGTTAGTTTTTTCTTCTCTGTCTTATGGATATGCCGATTTTTAAAAACAGTCCGAAAACTACACTAGTGGTGGCTTGTAAACAGTGCTATTGCTCCCTACCTCAGGGACCTATCTCTTACTTCTCTACCAAAACTGCTGATACTATTTTATCATTCCTGAGAAGACTGTTTACTCAGTGGAGGAGTCTCGTAAGTCTGTAAGTTAAAGTAAAAGATATGATGAATGAGCTAATGTATTATTCCACAACACCACATGCAAAATGAACTTAAATACAACACATACACAGGTTACATGACTCAGTAAGTCATGCACTAACACACTGGTTCTCAACGTGGGCCACGCCATGTTTCTAAGGAGCTACACGCGAATGACGGAAAATTAGGGTGCAACAGTAAATTCTGAGTGTGCCGTGTAACGAATTTGTTATTATATATTTATTTTAATATCGACGTTTGTTTAGATTAAATTTACATTTAGAAACATACATAGCTTATACTGTTAAATATGTGTTGCGAAACCCCGCCTAGTCTCCAAAGTTGTTGAAGATTCTCGAGAGTAAGAATCAACAATATATGTGTGTGCATAAACGCTTGTGTTAGCACCAGTATTGTTACGTAAAACTGAAATTTCTAGAAAACCTCCACACGCCTATAAATATAACCAGCGCGACGCGCCAAAAGGAGTATCTATTTTTAATTTGCTATAGTCAGTGTTCTATAAACTTTGGAAGCTATAACTGTGATTGTTATAACGCTTATCAATCGGAAAACTTCAGATATTTGGCCAGGAGAATTTACAAAGTTCGAACCTTACAAATCATTTAACTTCAGAGGATTCTCATCGGACATTAGTATTTTTACGAAAACATAACGTCACCGGTAGGAAAAATATCAGCATGTGATCAGCGAGAAGGACAAAGCTAGCTATCTCCCTGTTAAGTGAATTATACCTACGTCAACTCGTAATCAACTCGCTCATCGTCAACCCTCGATAAGCTACCGAATAAATTCCAGACTAGAAAGAAGACGTTTGTTTATAAATCATTGTTTGTTTGTTTTGAATTTCGAGCAAAGCTACACGAGGGCTGTCTGCGCTAACCGTCCCTAATTT